AGAATGTGCTAGAATGGCTTATTTGGGAATCGCACGCTGTAAACCGCATCAGAATGATAATTTGGGTCTCCAGTACGTTGAACCTGGCCGTTGGTTTGTTCACTAAGGCTAGCAATTCGGTATCGAAATTTCATCGTCAACAATGCCCTGTGAGTGACAATGTCACCTCTGTTGGCGGTGCAACGAACATGCCCGGGTCAGTGAATAAACCAAGGGCTGTCAGTGCACCCTGAGTTACGAGTGTTTGGCGGTAGGTTACCGGCTATCAGATATAACCTTTCTGTAGTCTTGTACAAACTACAGACAGTACAAACAAACAGTGGTTCTAATCAAAATGGGCTTTAGATGTAAATTTCTTTTACCACTGACTGACCGTAGTGATGTTTTTTTTCTGTCGTAACTGTTAATGGTTGTCTGATTGGTTCGGAAAGGACAACCTAATCGACTGGAAGAATGGTGTGTGCAATTTTCTGACCGATTTATGAAACAAAACAATCAATATTACACATAACAGATGAGGTCAAGTACGAGCATGACTAGCGCAGGCAGGACGCTGGATGACAGACATATCGTATGGTCACAGAGACACAAACATGGGCGCACGACTTACGGCCTGCTACAGTCTCGAAACAGATTGGCTGCTCTGTTTGTTCCTGACCTACTTTCATTCACCTGCAAATGCACTTTATTAGAGGCATTATCATAATCCGAAATCGATATTCACTATCGACCGAAGTCCAAAGTCACAGAAAGGTCAGGTGCTACAGGAGAACCAGCCTCCGTCAGTCCAGCTTGCCCTGTATTTTTAAATATAAACCTTACAAACGACACATTGTCTCCGAGTGGGACTTCAACAGTTCAGTGGGAGAAGCGAGCCGCACTCGATCTGAAGGATCGCCCATTGTAATGCGCCAGCATGTAAGGCGGTAATTTCAGTGGGTAGTGCAGAAATCTCCGATGGTTGGCACCTAATTCCCGAATCGAAGCTCTATCAGGACGTGAGATCAGATTTCCGAAAGCAACTACAGAATGCCCGAAATCTACTGAGACCCTCCCAACTACACTGCATGCCGAACAGACAGACAAACGAACCTGAATCAAAGCTAGACAGACAGCTTTGGATTAAGGTCAGACAACACTCCTCAATATGAAGCGCGAGATAACCTTGTATCAAAACCAGGCAGCGTTGGACCAAGGTCAGACAGTGACCCTCCAATAGAATAGCTTGGGGCCATTGTATCTTCGCACTCGCTTGTTCACAATAGAGCTGTTGTGTTCCTTTTCGGTGAGTCTTTTTTTTCGGCACTAGGCACTGGAGCGGGGGGCAGCAGTCAGACATAACAGACAACCACAGCGGATACGGAAGAGTAGCGGGTTTCTCACTTTAACCGGATGTTTATCTCGGTGAGGCTCCAAGTTGCGTTCTTCAAAATTGTCATTCAGTGCATGAGGTGTGAGGCTACTCCGTTTTCGTCCACAGCGTGCGGTACTTGACCTTTCTTAGGGGGGGGGAGTTTATCGACTAATGAAACCTTGGACGATCCAGGGAAGAGCAGAGGCTCCATTCAAAGAAAGATAATCCTACAGGAACCTGGCAGAGAGAACTTGATGTAAATTCTCCTCGGCAGTAGCCTCTGTTGGGAGAGGTTCTGAGGCTAATTTTCGACAATATGTCCTTGTAGAAAATGAGCTTCAGAACCTCTTTCTGTCACGGAGAGGCTGGATCTTACTGTGGTGTGATGGTTTGCGCACCTCAGCGATCCACTGAGCTATACTGGCTAGTGACACAGTCTCTCATTCCAGGTTGGTTAATGATTAGGGGTCCGAGAAACACAGTGTCCTGGCCCTACAGGTTGGGGGTTGGAACATGTGGCGACTTGTTCCGTAGAAGTTGTAATGCATTTGCATTTCCCGCCAAACACCGCTGCCTTGCGGTTAGGCTTTTGAGCCAAAGGCTTCGGTTGAGGACCCTAATCGTCCTGTCTAGGTGTGGGCGCCCTGGCAGTATTCCAGCCCTCGTACAACCATGACATTCACAAGTTTACGGCAGTGGAGCATGGGTGTTGAATACTGATGACATGCTATCGATTTTGATGACAATATGTCCTCTCCACCTGGATAGCAGAATACTAACCAAGTCTTCTGGTGTACCTCGGGGAGACAGTCTGAACAGAAACTTAACTGCTACTGTGTATTTTACTCGTGGGTCTCACAGGCAGTCTAATAACCGAATTCGATACATTTGCTGTTTCAGTTCAGTTTATCAGGTATGCACCATGTATCAAGGGTATGTAGGTCCCGCTTGATACGGTTTCAGCCACTGGAAAATGGCAAAACAAGGGAGGTGTATCCAAGCATTGCAGACGATGACACGATCAGTTAGCTAGGGACACTGGGAAGCTAGGTGTCGAAGGCGATCGCGTTACTGACTGCCAGCCCATAGGTGAGTTAGACCCCGGGTTCCCCATTCCAGTGAGGCCACTGACTGGGTTTATTGGTTAGTGTTTACCTACTCCATTACCATGTCACGTCTCGTTCGATTCCACTCAGCACAGGACTGGCAAGAAGAACTCTGCTAGGCGGAGCTGTTTAGTGTTCACGGCCCCATACTAAACGGACTGACAACCTGGTTTCGAACAAAGCTTTGGATGACAAAGCGCACTTGTTAGTGTTCGGATTTCACATGGTGGACCTTCCTGAATTGGCAGAAGCTTAGTGGTCACATTGATGGCCTGTATCAAAGTGCAAAACAGAGAGTACATATGTCATCCGACATTGTTCTGAAGCTTTTTGGGACAAGCTCGAATTATCCTGCTAAAAATGGGAGATTCTGACTTCCTGCTTCGGAAATATGTCACATACATCGGTGCCTACGTACCGTGTCTCTGCTGTCGATACGTTTCACAACTGTTCAGTCAGAATCCATCCTAGTCGATGCTAGCAGACTCACTCAGTGCCAGCGAGGATAACTTCCCTTAAGGGGCACGCATCTGATTGAAGTTCGGGTTATCGTGAAAATAACGGCAACACAAAAATATCTCTAATCTACTCTGTTGTACAAGTTATGGGGATGGACTCGCTAGTTTTTTTTTCTTTTGCTGTTTCCGGGCTAGGATTTTCCAGGTATTGATTTGGAACCTTGTGACACACTCAAAGCACCTGAATTATACGCAGAATACGAGGAATCATATGAATCGGTCAAACTGCTGCTGCTGGAGACAGAAAGCAGCCTTTTCGTGATGCTTTGCTAGCCGAATCGAGGCTTACTTTTCCAGATTTCTATCTGGTCAAAAGGTGGATGTCATCTCGGTGACCTCTTGGTCTTCGTTCTCAAAACGACAGGCCTCGGAGAAACAAGCCAAGCCTGAATAGTGCTACAAAGAGTTGATCTGCGGTTCAGAAATATAAACTCGTCAGTTCGACTTATACACCCATTTGCATACAGATTTGATTTTCACGGAAGACTCACCTGGAACCCAGCTGAATACCGCGTCTACGATGTTCTTACTCAACTGCACTTCATATTCCAGTTGGTATGAAATTCGATATATCGCAATGCGCTACTCATTAGGTTGCTGAAAACTCATGATGACCGGTTTCACCATTCTTGGAGCTCATCAGTCTCCGAGTTTCTGTCAACCTTATGTTCTACTTGAACCCGAAATGCACGAAACTCGACTCATACGCTCATTTGCTTTCCAATCTGGTTTTCACGGGAGACTCACCGACAACCCAACTCTCTCGTTTATGACTTTCTCAGTCAAATTCATGTGCTGCAGTTTGTTGTATCATGGGTGGCCGTCTATTGGTTACGCCTGCACTGA